ATGTCATAATATAATTTATTATAATTACTATAAAAATTATTTTAAAAACAATTTAAATATTTATGATATATTAAATTATTAATTAATTATATCATAATAAATACATTTAGTTTATATTTTTAAATAATTTTTTAAGAGTGATGTTAATAAATTCCAAAAACACTAATTAAAATATTTATAACAATATATATTTTAATTTTTATATTATATGCATATTTATTAAATAAAAAAAACATTAATAATAATTACTAAAATATATTTTATTATAATTAATTAAAAAACTAAATCAATTTAAATATTTATGACATATTAAACTTTTAACTAACTATATCACAATAAATACATTTACTTTATATTTTTAAGTTATAAATAGCTGTTTTTTTTTTACATTTAAACTTTAGTGTAATTACTAGATATCAAATTAATAAATTAGCATTACTATACCATATAAACGAATAATAATTTTAAATAATTAATGATAAATATTTAAAAATACTAATTAAGATGTTAAAATAAATTTATTTTCAATTTTATGTTATAAAAATACTTTTTTGAATCTAAACAAGACTTTATAAGTTTTTCTTATATTTATACTTCATTAAAATTTCTATATATCAATAACATTAATTAATTTTAATAAAAAAATCAACTAGAATCAAAGAATAACATCAAAACTATAATATAAACAAAATGAACTTACATTAAAATCAAGCATGTTTTCGGAGATATTAATCCTTGACCATTGTTGTTTTAAATCTAATTTCCTTTTCCTAGTTATTCCCTTATCTCTGGATTTATTTTTCACAAAATATCAAACCCTTGTCTCTAGAATTTGAAAATCCTTCTCCCTTCATATTCATGGTTACGTGTAAGAGTAGATTTCTTGGAGCTGAGATTTTGTCAATGTGCAATGAATGTTTTTGAAAAGTTCTATTACGGCAGACAACGTTGTAGCATCCCTTCCAAAAGAATCTATGCCCCATGCGAGTGGTAATCAATGGAATCGTCTACGAATAATTTTGTTTTGGACTCTTTTTACATAAATATTAGAGCAACTTCTCCCAGCAAATTAAATAAATTTTTGCAAAAGTAGAGGTTTTAAGTAAAGGGTTTTATTTATCATATGATTATTCCTATTTCACTTTTCCTCCAATTAAGTGACCTCTCCTTTCTCCACCTTGCAGCTTAATAGAATGCTTAAAACATTGCACCTAATTTTCTACCCCAGTTGCAGCAGATTAAAAAGTGACTTACCCCCAAAAAATAAATAAATAAATAAAGTGAAATAAGAACACAAATTAAGGATGTGAATATCGGTATGCATAGTTGAACAAAAATAATCAATGGGTATTATTAGTAAATGTGATAGGTACGCCCATTTACAAACATCAAGTTAGAAAAGTTAATCTTGACTATACAATTGTATAGAAATCATTAATTTTACTTAAATATAATGTTAATTATTATCCATAAGTTTAATTATTGCTATGTTCTTCCCTCTCACTTATCTTATATATCAAAAGAAATCACTTATCTCTATTTTGCATCCCTTTTCCTATTTTCCTAATTAAAGAGTGACACATGGATTAAAAAATGTTAACAATTAAGATAGATGACATTATTTTAGCCACACTTTACTTTTTAATCGAGAAAAAAAAAGAACAGAGACAAAAATATGAGCAAGTAATTTTAATCTGGGCGAGTTAAATTTCTTTAAGAAAAAATATCTTTTGAATATTTGGTATGCTATCATGTGTAAGATTTAATAGGGATTTTGAATTTATGCTAACATAACTCCCATCAACTCAACCAATTATTTTGCTAAAAATGATTAAAATTACTACCTTATACTTTTTTTTTGTACTTATACTATCCAATGCTTAAACTATTATTTATACTATTATAATTTATATTTTATTATTCTCAAATCCTCCCCCTCCCCCTCCCCCCAAATTTGATCATATTACAATTTTTTTTCAGAGTTTCGAGATAATATATTGAAAAAAGGAGAATGGTATGATAAAATAATTACACCATTATACTTTCAAATTATGAGTGTCACATTACTTTTCATATGGGTGGAAATTTTAGTGGGGCAAGTTCTGATCAATCAACTGGTATGTGAAATATTACGTGTATGAATTTCTTACTACCGTTGATGCCAAAGCTTAATGAGTGGTGAACTTGGAAATAAAAAGTGAATAAAGAAAAGAAGCATTAAAGGCTTAAAGAATAGTTTGAGGGAGAGGAATTATGTGTGCCTCAATTAGTGGCTGATGGAGAATCAAAGTTGATAATGGCTTTAGGAGGAGGTGGCAATATTGTAGTGATGCAAATGAAAGGTGTAAAACATTTGAAGTCAAAGAAGGATGCATTTGTTTATAACAGAGGATGCTTCAAACACTGTTCCAAATGTGATATTTGGGAGTGCCCTACCCATTAACAGAGCCTTATCTTTTTCACACCCAACCATTTAATGATATTCCCACATCATTTCACATGGCCGACCATTTTCATCTCTCGCCAACCTTCATTGTTAGACAAGAGATCAACACTGTTCAGGAGATCAACTTTGAGTATTTTAAAATATTCAAATTTTATAAATATAATAAATATCTTATTTAAAATAAAATTTATTATTTTTAAATGTTTAAATTTAATTCAAAATTTTAAAATAAATATTTTCTTAAGTTTTTTTTTAAAATATTAACATCAATCTTTAAGGTTAAAAATAAATACTTAATAATGATAATTTCTTATTGAAAAAATGATCGATTATTTTAAGAATATAACAAATGTTATAATTTTTTAATTAAAATTTAATATTTATAGGTATTTAAACTCACAAAACCGAATTTTTAATTTGTATCCTGTACAGCAGATTTCTCTCCATCTAAGAAATTGACGAATTTAAGGAGTAGGTTGACCAATCACATTGAAAAATTCGTAAACTCATTATATGGTGTTGTCATTAACCAATTTCATATTCGTAATTGACCAATCTTTTAACTATATTGACTAACGTGAGAATTAGATTGATCGTTTTTTGCTTTGTTAACTTGATTTATGGGAACCCTTAGATTACAAATGTATGTTTAAGATTTTGGCTGGAGAGAAAACTAATGGAGAGGATCAAATTTGTATAAATTTTGGGGTGTAAGGTAAGTCGAAGTAACTTTGTAAAGGGAGAGATTAGAGAGTGAAGATGAGAGTTTAAGAGCAGAAATTATGACTAAAGAATGAATATGTGTGACGTGTTTGGTTCTGGCTTAGATCCACTCAAACGTAGTTATAGCTTTTAACGTGATTTTGTTAGATCGTGCATTTGACGGTAATATCTGCAATATATTTCAGTATTAGAACCGGTGATGAATTAAATGTGTAATCACCACTTGAAACAGATTATTACTAACTTGTGTGCGTTGATAATATGGCCAGAGGGAGGGAAAAATGCACAAGCAAAGGTTTTCAGAAGTTGATAATTGGGTTTGAGCCTGAAAAAGATTTCGAAAGGTGGCTTACTGTTTAGGACAAGTCTAATTGAATCTGTTAAGTAGTAAATCCATCACTCCAAAAATGGTAGGGTAGAAGCTACAAGAAAGTTTAGGCCAGTTGCTGCAACATGCACATGTTTGCTTTCTGAGCATTTTGTTGTTGTGAATATGTGCAGGAAAACCTATGGACGATGCTATCAGCATATTTGAAAATATTGTGCATTTCATTCCATTATCTGTTAGGAAGGTCTTAATCTTGGTTCCTAGTTGTAACACAGCCATTTTAAGAATGTAGTAAATGCTTGGGCTTTATGATGTTGAAGATAAATCGAAGTGTACCAAACAAGGTATCTCTGCTCAATTGAAATCCTCTTCTCTCCTTCCCTTTCTTTGAACCAAACACCCCATTAGAAAATGATGAAGTTATGTCCCTAACAGCTAGGTTGGAATTTCGGCGTGTACCATCCAAACAATATATTTCAATGTTAATGCACACATACACAGTAATCGTCATTCCTTCTGACAAGATTTATTCATTTAGCAAAAAGAAAGTACACTTTATGTCTAGTGACTGACTTCAGCTTCTTCTTGTATAAAGGGGAAATTTAGCTTTGACTGACACAACTTTCCCTCTTGATTAAGAGCATTCTGCATTTGTTTTAGGATTAGCCAATTGGTGTCCATAGTCCGAGGTACTAAGGTAATATCATCTAAAGGAAAAATCTGGGTGATTGAAATATCTTGCATCACCACCACCATACTCCAAAAGGATGATAGCAATTAGTCTCTGATCTCTGAAAGTCTGAAGCAAGAACAATTCAAATGTTCAAGTGGAACCACAGAGAAATAACTTATACATAAATAAATAAATAGAATGAAGAAGAAACAGATCAACTGGGCTGTCTGTTACTCATCCAACATAATTAAGAAGCAACAAACATATACAACATAGCACGCATATATAGAAAACAAAAGCCTCGAGCTGATACAATCCGTTGTTTTGGTACCCTCAACATGAAATTAGATGCCATGTAAAAATCTGTTGCTCCATGTACGTAAAGGGTGATTTTAGATGCCATGTCGAAGGAAAATCACAGCAGAGTCAATATCGACTTATATTGCATTTCGTTTAGCTGGTTTGGACTTGGCAGTTGCAAGGCTGAGCAGGGTGAGTCCGTGAGTGATTTCCGTTAACTAGTTTTTGGACCAACAGTAAAAAAAGAATATTTCCTTCAATGCTTTTTTATGCACCTACTAGTAATTAAATTGAAGTCTCATACGCGTCATTAATTTCTTCAATAAATGATATTAAAAATTTTAAATACTTCACATGAATTCTACTACTACTACTAATCAGCCAATGGAGTGACCGGGTCCTAACATCACAATCGCATCACTATCTAACATGAAATCTCGATTTATTAGTTGGTGCTGCAAGTTTTTCAACAGCATCATTTCGTGTCAGTAGAAAGAAAACGCATTGTCGCAGCAACAGTGGGAGCCTGCCGTCGCTTCACTTTCAAAACACCCTGTTCAAAACAATAGATAGTGGTGGAGTCGAAGAAAACCGAAAACTAGGAGGACAACACGCAGCATGATGATGCTACAAATTTTGGTAGATTTTCAAGATCTGATACTATACATAAATTCGGCTCAGCACAAAATTTGCACAAGCGTGCAATGACGATATATTAAAACCACAATCGCTAGCTATGTCAGTGCAAAACATTACAACCATCAAAACATTAAGGTATAATTTTACAATCCTGCATCTATAATGTCACCATTGGAAGAAGTATTGTCAATCCTCTGTTTAGCAGAAATCACCCTATCCAAAGTCTGGTCTGAAACTGATATCCCCGTGCTTTCTAAGTCTGCAACTACAGCCACAGCTGCATCTAGTTCTCCAAGATCAACGCAGAGGGAGATGATCTCATCATAAAGCGGTCTGCAACATGTGGGAAAAATGAGAATACATGGATGGCAGAAAACCAAAGTTTTCCTTCATTTTAGGGTTCTTAATCACAGTGAATAAACTAGCACATAATCTAATCCAACCCAGTCAAACAGCTATGCCTTCAACGATAGGAATTCAAACAAACCAAAGTGCATACAAGTTAAATACAAATTTCATTTTTAAACTCAGCAATAATAGACAAAATTATTTCCTTTATCGTTCCAATATGGAATCATGCTGTGCTTTTGCTCCATAGGAATCATGATGACTAATTAAGCCATCCTAACCTTAAAAGTCTGAGACCACAAATTTTGAAGAGTTTATAAAATATAAAAGGCAAATGCCAAGGAGTGCCCATAGACCATATTTATCCGTAGAACTTCAAGTTTTCTTTCTATAACTCACAAATTTTATTGAAAATAATAATAAAAAAATGTAATGGGATCACATTTTAAAATAAAAGCAGTTGCACTTATAGAAGCAACTTTGGCAATACAAATGATTCGAACAATATTTGCTTCTTGAAAAATCAAGATAAGCAACCCCTTTCTTACTCCATCCCATTAAACTACTTTTAGGATACTTGTTAAGAATTCTAATTTAGATAGTATTAAATGAAAAGTAAAATTTTTTCACGTTCATGATGCAACATTAAATGCTTTTTATTTTTCATTCCTTGACAAGTGTCAAGTACCCCTTACAGCACTAGTTGAGACCTGGGACCCCCCATGTAAAATAGTGAACTTTTACAAATTAAAGTGGACCTGTAAATTCAAATGACTTTGAAGAATGTTATGTTACAAGTAATAAGGATATCACAGTTTCAGGTGCCAAATTTAAAAGGGTAATTCTTCCATTGGAAATCTCAGTTTGTTTAGTTTTTTCTTCTTCCCTGGTTAAGCACATAAAATGTCCATATTTTTGCTAGTTGGGTTGGGTAACATACATGGGAATCACAAGAGTCGTGCTTATGAAGAAAATAGAATTACCTCCCAAACTTATAACCAAGACCATGAGTTGTCTGCAAAATTGTCAGGAAAGCTGAAGGTAGAGGTGCCCTTATAGCTGCACGCAAGATCATGGCACAATCTCCTATAGTTGGTGTTCCTCCCAATTCTATGACCTGTGTAAAACAGCCCAGAATCTCGTTCAGAAAAAGGAAGCATATTACTGAAGAAGATTGTTTAAGGTTAAATATATCCAAAACGACTCAAGTAGCATTGCTAATTAACACTTTATTGAATGTGTTAGCTCCAAAAGTCAGCGGGATCTTTTAACAATACTAGTGGAAGTTTTAGCAATATTCACAGGGATGATGACTATCTTTCAACATTGTCATATATAAGCTGAATATAAAAATTGAATGAAATATTACACTATGCATGAATAGGTAGACATCAATACAGTCTTTTCTTTCTTCTTTAATGCAAAACAAAAATAAAGATCACCACTGAGTATCTTTTGGATTTACATTTACTTTCAAGTGGAGTGTTATAAAGGATGGTTTTTATTTTTATACACATGAAGTGATAGAAATTATGTTCTATGTCTACAAGAAAATGAGAAATTTGACCTTTTAAAACTAACCTTCTGCATAACTTTGATTGCCAAGTCTACTTCCCATTCCTGTGACCATTTACGAGGAGGTTTGTTCTTCAGTTCTCTCTCCCATGTCCATCCCCAAGCATCTGCTATGGTATACATGTCTGACACATCAAAAATTTTCCGCTTCCTCATTTCCTTAAATGCCTCAAATAGGTCTAGAGGAAACCAATCTTCATCATCATCCTCCTCCTGCAAAGAAGTAACATTAGATTCTCAAACAACATCAGTATGTTCATTGTTCAAAAGTACAAAATCAAAGAATGAAAGAATGTGATGTCAACAGTAAATGCAGGTTCAAGGTTCGGAGATGGCTCTTGGCCTCTCATGAGTGATCACTCCCATCCAAAATCTCAGGCTCCCATACTAGTTTTCTCTCAACATTTTAGGATCTTTTGTAAAAAAAATCTTGCCTTTGTCTCAACAGGTTGTGGAACCTCACTCTCCCACCCAAAAACAAAAGGAAAAGAAGAACACCAAGGAATTATAATACCTCAACCTGCACTCGAGCAGATCTTTTTCTCAACTTTTTAGATGTGGCAGTAGGTTGATCAGAATCTTTCAACAACTGGACTCCAATCATTTGAAGAGGCCTTTTAGCTTCAATTTCCTTGTCCTTTATCCTGTCTATATCTTGGTTATCTGCTGGTTCTACTTCCTCTTCTGTCTGTTCTACTTCTTCCTCCTCGTCATCATCATCATCATCAGCTTCATCATCTTCAACCTCTTTTGCAGCATCTTCTACACCATCAATATCATCTGGAACTTCCTGGAACTCTGATTTACCAGCATCTATCGTCATTTCTTGATCCCCAGTTATGCCCTCTCCTAAGAAGCGGCGTTTCCAGAACTCTGTATTTCCTTCCTCCAGCTCTATACGTGAAATTAATGCATCCAGCTCTTCATCCACCTAGAACATGAATCACATTTAAGTTTAGGCATTGTATATTAAAGAAAAAGCTATTTAAATAAAACAAATGAAAAATAACCTCTTCTTCCTCCTCTTCCATGGGAGGAACCCAAAGGGGCCTACCACGAGATCGATTTATTCTCCTAGCTTTCTGTACACGCTGATAAAGAACATTTCTAGTTCCGTCAATAGGTAAACCTTGTGCTTCTAGTTCTTCCTTCAATTCAGACACAAGCATTTTACTAGCAGCCTTAGGCTTTAAAACATTCTGTTCAGGTCCCTTTATGATTTTCTTTAGCCTCTCCTGCACTCTAATATAATCAGATTCAGATACACCATCCCCTAAAGCTGCAAGTCCTTCATTCTGCAAGGTCTTCAAAAGCTTTCTATGGTGCAATTTCAACTCCTCCAGGCATCTTTTTTTGAAGGAGGTCTCAATTGGGTTTGAATATATAAATCCAAAAGCATCAGGATCCAGAGGTGTTTTACCTCTTCGAGGCACCCAACGCTTGCGCTCTCCAGTAAGACCACCCTCTGCAATATATCTGTTTCAATTAATAGCAATCAAAACATTAACAAAAATAATTCAATATGTAAAATGGTCATTAAGCCCATTAACTAACATATACTAGATCAGTGATTGAACATGCCTGCATTAAATAGAAAGGGAACTTAAAAACAAAAAGGCTGGAAATTTTGTAACTAGAAAAATTGTGGGAGATTCTTAAGACCACCACTTAGATTTTGGTTTGCCTGTTTTGCCAATATCAGCTACTACTAAGATTTCAGAATATTAAATTACCTCTGGTAGGCAAACTGGGCTCATCAAGAACATGAAAACCATGGAAAATACAATACAATTTACAAGCAAGAGGTAAAGATAGCATGCCTTTGGTATTCTCTCACACTACTTTTCAACAGAACAAAGATAAAATGCCAATTAAAAAAAGGAGGGGGGGGTGGGAGAGAGACATGTCAATTCATTATTTTTTAAATTCAGTTCCCTATCAGAGAATAAACAATAATCATATATGCAAACATAAATAAAATAAATAACTTAGACAAAAATGATAATATCAAAAGCAAAATAAAAATCATAGCAGTTGCTGAAGTAGAAAAAAATACCTAGCTATATAATCAATCTCATAGCCAAGTTCAGCCTCCTCTTGTAAAGGTTCAATCCATGAGCTCACTAATGTCCGGTATTTTCTGCTCAAGATCATTGCCCGTGCAGGGATTGGCTGGTTATCTTTGGCCATAACTTCTAAAGCTTCAAGCATTTCAACAATCCTTCCTGAATTTAAAATTGTCTACCACGTTGAGGCAAAGCATTTTGAGATAATTTAGTCATAAATTTCTATAAACAATTTAACACACTATATGTTGAACTCCACAGAGAATTGCTTTACCATGATGACTATCTTTTATTACAAGGTTCTTGGTCTCACAAGGGCAACAAAATATATGCAAATAAATTTTAAGGCAGTGATTGTATCTTATGGATCCATATCTTCTACATATAATGGCATGGTAGATTATCTATCAATTACTTCCTTGAAAATTTTTCTTTGAGCTGAAATTTATTACAACGCTAGAATACATGCTTTAGATCTCCTAAGTCCTAACATAGGAAAGAATTTACTTTTTTTTGGAATAAAATATTTTAGGTTAAGGGGATGGTGCTCCAAAGCTTTTGAGCTCAAAGAAAATTTATAGAGGACTTACATTTACCTCATCCCAAAGAGACGAAAGGAATATTGAACCTATGACTTGTTAAATGTGAAATCATGTTATGCTCCACTCAACCAAACCTTTGAGGTTGATTACACAAAATTTTAAAGTTTTTAATAATGGAAAACAATAAGAATGAGAAAATTAAAATACATAACTTCTATAAGCATACCTTCCCGACATAATGCTCGAAGGTACAAAGAAAGTGGATCTCCATAGTTTCCTTCGTTATGTAGAACTTTTGTACCCCCTTCAAAGTTTTTAAGGGCACGGAAGTGCCTAATAGCTTCCCGTACTACACAGTACTTGGTAAAACACTCCACTAACAGCCTGAAGAGACAATATGGGACTAATCAGGTGAAGATGACATTTGACAGTCACATATTCCGACATCCATCACCAATGAAAAAATTATATTTTATTTAAATAAATCAGCTTAATGCATGCCTATCTGGTCCCCAAAAACTACCGGTCATTTACTCAGTTTACCTGATAATCCAAGGATCCTTCAGAAAATGGAAGGAAAACTTCAAATTAAAGAATAGCATGGAAGCACTTACTTAAAATAGTCAACATATGGGTGAATGGAGATGTTTCATTCTTAGTGAAAAGTAAACTCCTTGTAGTATGCACTAGGCAGTATCACTAGTGAAATCAACATATTAAACGGGGACTCCAAAAGGATTCTGACCTTCTGTGTCTAAACTCCTGACTTTTTTGGCCAATGATAAGGATTCTGTGACGGCAGACAAGCAGTGTGCAGTTTTTGAGCTTCTCAGGTGCATTTGATTGGAGGAATGCCCATGTTTTCAATTGCATACAATTGTCATGCCAAAGAGTCATGTTTATACTTTATCAAGGGTACTATGCTCATTGTTCTTTTAAGGGAAATTTCATAACTGATATGCAGACAGCTTTGTAGCATTTTTTAGCCATGTTGCTGAGTTTTTGGTTTTTTGGTTTTGGAAGAACCTCAACCACCTGGCTTCCCCCAGTATATTCTCTCTTTAATCTTTCAAATTGTTTCTTCTTTTTATACTCACACAGAAGCACAAAAGCTTCTTTGCAATCTGTTGTTTTGTCACAGGTCTTGCCACAAATCTCAGCTTTATATAACTGACACATTTTTAAAAAATAAAAAAACTAAATTATAGACTAAGACATTCAAACAATTTGACACCAAATATGTTACAATGTTCAGGTCTGAAAAAGAAAAATATAGATAATGGGTCTTACGCATGGGTCTTCACATTTGGCTGTATGCGTTTGTGTGCTTCAACCATCATGCCAAGTAACTCAGCAACATCTTGTACTCTATTATAAGCCACACAGAGACAAGTTTAATTGGATCACATCACATAATAACAAATATAACTCAATCCATGAAATATTTTATTCAAGAATTCCAATAGGAGACCTCTGAACTATTTAAATATCTAACCTGTCATAAGATTCAGCTCTAGTATATGCTTGAATAACCCAATTGTATGTCTCTGTATCAGGCTTCATATAATCTGTCATGTAACAAAATAAAGATAATTTACCTTACACAGAATTGATAATGAAGAAAGAGGCTTTAACAATTTAGAGAAGAGTGCCTTCACCTCCAACAACACACACACAGAAAGAATTTAAAAAATGAGTGTGACATAGGTAAGAGGATTAGATTAAAATCACATCAACACATGAATGACACAAAAAAGTTAGAGTATTACTTATTAGAAATAGAAACAAGCGCACCTTAAAATAGTAAAAGAAATCACTGTGAGTAAACATATATAAGCATCAGAAAAAGAAGAAAAAGGAAGAGAAAGTAGATGTGGAATGCAAACCTTCTCCATATTCCATGTTCTCAAATGTTGCAAAAGCTATTTCAGGTATTCCGCAGGTAGCCTAATTAATTTGAAGGAAGTAATATTAAAAAATCACAATGCAAACAGCCTAAGATCAAACAGTCTCATAAATTGCTTTATCACAGCTAACTAAAACTTGAAAAGCTTTTTTTTTTTGAAAAAAAAAAAAAAACTTAGCATTGCTTGCCTGAAACATGTTAAAGTGAAGTAACATTGTGTCATATGCCATATCAGTTACCTTTACAGATTTTACAGTCACAAAGAAAACAGCAAACCATGAAACAGGGATTTGATAGACGTTTTCAGGAGGGAATTTATCAAAAGTACGAATAACGGCCACAGTATAGGAGTCACTTAATTGACACTGACCACTAATAATTATAAAGAAAAACCACCTTGATCTTGCTTTCACTATATGCTTTGCAAATTCTAATGTAAACAATGTGACATTTTTCTTAAATTATAATTCATAAACAAAAGCATATAATCTGAAAATGAAAACAAAAGAGAATCCAAAATATTCGTAAATCCTGCTTTCACCCCCATTTTTAAGGAGATAGGAAATTGCACCCCTAGAATTTCACAGCACAAAAACTAGATTGAGGAAGGTAACCTGCACACTGAGTAGGCAATTGAAATGAAAAGTGGTAGCCATCCGACCCGCCGCCTCCATCTCGTAGGCAATTTCTAAGGCATTAGAATGATCCCCTGCTTTGCAATCTTCCTCAATTAAGCTATCATAAACCTCATCAGTAGCTCTGAGGCCACCCTTGGAACCTTTCAAGAACACTTGGTTGGCATCTTCCAAATGCTTGTTCCGAACAAGTTCCTCTACATCACAAACCAAAGAAAACACATCACACCAAAACAATTAAACAAGCAATAAGCAGCAATAAGATATATGAAATTATGAATATACCAATAAGAACAATCCAAGCGTGGCGAATATCATAATTTAGCTTTTCCATAGCTGCAAGTATTTCTAAACCTCTAGTAGCACGACCTTTGAATCCAAATAACCTTACCAAAGCCAAGAACGTCTCGTGAACCGGTCGAAGACCCGCTGCCAACTCTCTTCTCAGCGAGTCCATCTGCGTAACATAACAACAATAATCGCTTTAATTCAATTCGCAGAAACTTGTTTTCGTGTCTCGGTAGAGAAAACAGTATACCGCGGCTTCTTCGTTGCCGTTTAGGGCGTGCGAAACAACCAAGCCATGAAACGACCTGGGACCAGGGCTCAGGCCAGCGGCGATCATGTCGTAAATGACGTCAGACACGCCGGCGGAGTCACGGTTCCTGGCCCGGTCCATGAGCTCCTCCATGAAGCTGAACCGGAGACCGGTCTCGAGGGCAGTTTCTTCATCCTTGGGCTGCTTCTTTTTTCTGGTTCGCCTGTCCGAAGTTGAAACCGCTGCGCGAACCGTAACGGTTCGGGGAGAGAAACGGTTTAATTTGAAGGAGAAGGAGCTGTAACTGTAACCGTAAGCGTAGGTGTAAGGCAAGATAACGAAGGACATGAATGCATATATATAGATTTGAATTTGAGAGCGTAATTAGTTTTGGTCGGAGAGAGTGAGCCAGTGACACTGGCCAGTGAGTGCAGCTCTGATGATAAGGCACACCACCGTTTGAAAAAAGTGATGCACGCTATTGAAATTATGTTTTTTATTTTTTATTTTTTTAATTCAACGCTACGGAAATGAAGTTGACCAAATCTATTTCCGTATCCGATACGCTTCTCTCTTTGGGCCTTTTCTTTGGGCTCACCCATACCCATAATTAATTTGTTGAAAAAAATAAAAATATTAAAAGCTACTAGTAGTGTTATGCTGTTTATAAATCAAAATTGTTTCCATCATACATTTTTCTACTTTCTCTTCAAGTTACTAACTATGAAAGCTTCAACGATTCCACAAGATTTTTTTTTTTTTACTTTTTCTCTTCTTTTGTTATTTCGGCCAAATCAAATAATTGAATAAATACAATTTATGTTAATAAATTTTAAAATTTCTGATTCAACTTAGCCTGCATAAAATTAGGTTAACAGGTTGTGTAAAACCAATGTATTTTTTTAACTTAATAATTCACCACTTAAAAGTGCAGGGTTATTGTTACTGTCATTTTAAGAATTAAAATATAATTAACTGTTCAATTTATTTGTTAGTGACTAGAAATTAAACTGTTAAACTTCTTAACTCTTACTCATTCCAAATTTTTAATAATTGAAATTACTATTTCTTAAAATTTGATGACTATATAATGGATTAATATGCTTGAACTCTTATTTTGGTAAACTTCTATAAAAGCCTTTATAAATGTAAAAGATTTAGTATAAAAAATAGGGTTTTGTTAAATTAAGGATAATAATAAATAACTAATAATAGTAAAATTTTATTAGAAAGATAAGTATTTATTGTATTTTTATAACTTTAATACAGTAACTGTGTATTTTTTTTATAAAAAATTTTTATTTGTGGATGCTTGAACTCAGCTTTAAGGATTAAGGTTAACAAAATCCTAAAAGATAAATAAAATATTTTTATAAATTAGAAATATTTTATATTTTTTTATTAACTTCTCTAAAATTTGAAGACATAAACTATTTTTAAATTATAATTTTTTAATTATATTTTTATATTAATTTTTTCTTCTATAAAATTTTTTTTTTGAAGTTAATCAGAACTAAATTTTAATGCATAGTTTATTAATGTTTTTAAAAAAGAAAAATTAAGCAAGTATTCTTACTCGTTACATAAAGCAATGCTTGTTTCATACTTAACATCGTAAATAGTATCATAATAGCTATTTATTTACCCTAACCTTATCACATTTTTATATTCATATATTTTTTATTATCATATGATTTTCTATACATTTATGTCACCTCTAACAAATACTAGTAATGTGCATGGACCGTTATTATTTGCGGTAGCAATAATGATAAATTACACTCATTAATTTCTGTAGACATTTATTTTATGATTTCTCTGAAACTATATTTTTAATTAGAATAGGTAGATATTATCTTTTAAACTAAGATATATCTGTAAGGAAATGTTTTTTAAACATATACTGAGAAGAAATCATAAGAAAAACTTAATGGAGTACTCACATCGTTTAAATTTTGATGTGATATGGAGAAAGAAAAATATTAACAAATATAATAGGCGTAAAAAAAATTCAAAATAATATAACTTATCTCCATATATTAAAAGACTAATTTCTCATACACTTGCACAACTAATACATTTTAACAACCGAGATCCTCTAACATTTGTTTATATCACCAACAGGATGAAGTCGCGTATACAAATGAAAAATATCTGAATAAATGTGCCACATGAAGATTCAAAAACAATAAATTATTTTAGACCAAAAACAAAACTCACTTATTCTGCAGTTTCTCTCTGCGCTTCTATAGAGAAACAGAATAAAGAAAGTTACTTATCCAATATACTTAGGAATTAATCATTAACTTGAAGAGGATTATGGCTCAAAATCAATTTTGTGCACACGAATGAAAAGTATGATTGATTGCTGCGATTAATTGGCTATACTTTGGAATCCAAGGCCAAAATGGTGCTGAGATTCATTGGGTGCATGTACTCTTTGGTTCCTGTCATAATCTGCCGAACAATTAACCTGTTGGCCTTTTCCGACGGATGGAATGGATCCCAGAATGCATAGGCCTCGCGGTTTGAGCACAAATTGGATGCCACCGTGCACAATCCGATACCATTGAAGGGTCCTTGACCGCAACATGCTACCTTCGACGTAACAAATCCTGCATCACATTCAAGTAAGTTATTCAGATGAAGATAAATAATGTGTTTATTAGTTTGGTATAAAGTGTTCAAATTTAAAATAATTAAATTAAATAATAATATTTGAAAATTATAAAATATAAAAATGCAAAGCCTGAGACTGAATCTTTTACTGTTGTACACCTACTTTCTCCTAAGCTGCTCAAGAATGCAAAGCCTGTGGCTGTGTAGTATATTTAAAGATGTAACAAATATTAAAAAATATCACCAAATGCAAAGCGTTATTGAATGTTTAATCACCAAATGCTTGAGGATCAGTGACGAAATCATCGTGCATGAGTTGTGTGTTGGCTGCAATGAAGACATGTGAACCAACTTCCTTATTGAGTTGATTGATCAAATCAACGAGTTGTGGGTTGAACAAGGACGCAGCCTGTTGTAGCTCAGATGAGCATTCACCATTACTGCCTCGCAGGGCTAATTCCGCCGGAACACAACCCAATGGACCAGTGCCTGTCACCACCACCCTACGTCCTCCAAGATCATATAGCCGCTGAATTCCCATTTCAAACTCAAATGTTAGCCTTAAATGTATAATCTAACAGTATGAGACTGCATATGTAGATAAAGACGTAGAAAGAAATGAAAATCAAGGATATATGATATATAGTTAATGTGTTACCCGTAGAATCTTCCTGTACTCAGAGATCAAAAATTTGACATAGTCTGGTAAAGGGTACTGGCGGGATCTTGCGGAATTAGGCACCAAATAGTAGTTATTCACGAAATCGTTACCTCCACATGTGATGAGGATTAGTGCTCCTTTTACTAATTTAGTTGTTTCCTCAGGTCCAATAAGAGCACTCACCCTTTGTTGGTATTCTTGGAAGTATTCTAGTTGTCTTGAGATTCTGATGATGTTTACCTGCAATTCAAACATGTCCTTATTGCATATATCAACACGCGTTTCGCACCATATAAATGGTCTACTTTATATAATAAAAATATGAACTATAATTCATAGTTGTGCGCCACATACAAATTGGATTCCAGTGTCATTGAGAATTCCAATCCCAGCAGAAGCAAAGTTGGCACCAACAAGCAATTTTTGCCCGTTTAGGTCGGGGCTTAAATATGGCAACGTGGACTGGGACCCAAGTTCTTGACCTTAAAAATCACAAGCATTGTAATTATATAAGTTAAATTGCACAAAGTTATAGATTGAAAAATCAAAATTAAAGAGGTGAACCGAACTGATAAAATCAGGAATGTTGAAGCCATTAGAGAAACGGCCAGTGGGTCTGCGAGTTGGAAAATCAATGCCATAAGGTGGAGCATCAGCTCGAGCTGTGGTGGCTAAGTAGTTATTGTTGCCATTGTCAACGAGAGAATCGCCAAACACAAAGAAAGCACGAGCTGCCTCTGCCCCCTTGAACCCGCCAATTGCTAGTGCCATGAAGAGACCCAAAACCAGAAAGCTAGCCATGATTTGGAATTGGATGATGATGGGCAAGGAGAAAAATGGGTAATTGTGGTGTTGGCTACACTGGCTACAGAGTCTGAACTCTGCAAATATGATTGATGTGTCAGTTGCTAGCATGGGAATCGGTCTTATATAGTTTGGACTCGGTGGTTGTATCATTTTAAAAATGAATGCCCTACAAATTAAATAGCACAAGTAGTTGCAATATTTTGCATGTATCATGTATGGTTGTGATGTGAATAACATTGTTGTATGGGAAATGAAAGTCGCGATTTGTGAGGTTATGCCAGACAGAGTGGTTCTGGGCCTGAACCTGAATCATGATCTAACACATTCATGCAAACATATGGTTGATATATTGTGGGTAGATTTGACCCTCTTTTAGAAGCTACGTTCTAGCTTTTGTAACAATATAGCTAAACAAGGGAAGCTTTAGCTTTGGCAGTTTAACTGGATCCATCCTTCTGCTGCAATTTCCCACATCAAATTAAAGGAAGAACATTGTATGTTTGTTTTTTGTAGCACGTCTTTGCTATATCTCTGGCCAAAACAAAGTTTAGAATTCTTTTCGGAAAGATGCTATTTCCAGCCTTCATTACCCTTTTGTTTTTTTCTACATTTCTTAATATACATGTTCGTATTTTTATCTAATTTTGTGTAATAAACAGAGGCATTACTTCTAAGAGTATCATCGTCTTTTCTTTTCTTTTCTTTTTCCTTTTAGAGACATGTAATTGATTTTTTTTTAAAAATTCTCAAATTATTTAAAATAATTATTTGAATTTTTTATGTTCAAATCCTTTTCCCAAAACTTTATTGCATATTAGTTCAAATCAATTACTTTTAATTTTTCCTTTTTACTTTAATACTATCTTCTAAAATCTTGCTTCTTTTATATTCTGCATGAATATGAAAGAATTTATGAAAATAACTTATAATTCTCATAATTTTTTAAACTTATTTCTATAACTTTCTCAAAATAACTTATTAAAATAATTTTTTTATTTTAAAAAATTATGATCAAATTTATGACATACATTCCTATATAAATTAATTTATTAAATAAATATTTAATTAATTTGTATTTCTAAATGCACTTACTCAAATTAATTACTACTTTCAAGCACTCATTTATATATATATATATATATATATATATATATATATAAATGACTATTCTCTCTTAATATTGACTCAATTTCTCAATGTATTGTTCCCTAAAGAATAATGCATGCCATGCTATATTTTGAAATTAATAATTATCTTTTCAAAATATTAATGTTTCTAAAAATTATATATTAATTATGCAATTTTTTTTATAAACTTTAAATATTATTACTTTTAGTTTACATTTTTAAAAATTATTCATACAATGAATAATATTTTTGTTAATTAGTACTGATTACTATCTTTTTTAATATGTATTTATGTGCAAAGTGTGGATGCAAAATGGTTGTCAACATATAATAATGAGGTACAATAAAACCAGGTATAAATTAGTGGCTAGCTATTCTGTTAATAGTTGCGTATACCCCTAGTGGGCACAATTTATTTAAGAAGTACATATGATATGTTAGGTTAATTTTAAATGAGTCTAAAAAATATTTGCACCATACTCACATCTCTTTATTTCTTTACATAACATCCAACAAAATAAGCTCTGAAAGGAAATTAAAATAAAATAAGCTGCATTAAAATTTGATCACTTGTGAGAGCATAAAATATAAAGAATATTTATTGTCACTTTTAAATATTTATTATCATTTTTATTTAACTTAATATATTTTTGTATTTATCATAACCACACAAAGTAAAATAATTTATATTATTTAAATACTTCCTTAAATATGAACTAAAAATAAAAGTAACCGTGATAAAAATATTCAATACTTTCTAAAATATTACCTAATTGGTAGAATTAAAAATACTAATAAGTTGATTTAATTTGTTTGGTTTAGTCATATTTACAACAACAAAAAAACTAACTAATATGTTGACATTTAGTTAAACTAGATTTTAATGATTTAATAGTGTTTTCTTATATTGATTCTGTTATTTTTCTTTTGTTTTGATTCTTTAGACAATTCAACCTTGGATAAATTCTTAACTTTTGTTTGGACTTTTAGTCTCTTTATCTAGAAAAAAAAAGTGCTACATTATTAAAGTTGTAAGGATTTCGATAAAAATTTAACATATAAATACTTTAAAATATTTCATATATTTAAATAATTAAAATAATAAATAAATAAATTTATGTGCACATAGATACAGTGAAAAATTGTGAAAATAAAAGTTTAAATAAACATAAATGTCTACTTATTTCAAACTAGAGCACATCGTAAGAAAACTTTTAATATAAATTTAACACATTTTATTATAGAGTAATTATTGAGTGATTCAGATTGTATAATTTTAACTACTGGTCATATTTTATTATGTGTCCTTTTTTTTAATTATGAAATTTATACACATAGCATGAATTAATAATGAATAATTATCTTTATTACCTCATGCTTTATCTCCCTCGAATCACCCTCATTATTCTGGTTGAGTTGAATAAAAAATTCTGAAGTGGGTAATATCGTACTCGGAGGTTTAGTTCATGAACTTTTGATTTATAAATGAGATGTTAATTGGGTGTTTTTTGATTGTGGCAAAGACGACGTTGCTAGGAAGTTGATTATTGCTGTTAAAAGCAATTATATATCTTTCACTGTGTTAATCCAAATTAAAAGGCGTTTAGGCGATGGATAGAGTTTTTTTATGGGCACAGTTGAAATACATATTTTTATTACTGATAAAGTGATTTCTTTAAATGTTTAATGTGGTTAATATTTTAGGATTTGAATTCAAAATTATTGATTAAGTTTGAAGAACTAAATTTAAATTAGAGAGTTATTTATGAAAAGAAATAGTAACACCTTATGATGTCTGATAAAAAGAAATATTGTCTTTTAATTCATCTCACAGAATTAAATTAACTTTAAAAATATTTATTTTATTTTAAAAAATAATTTTGCACAAAAAAATCAACTAATTGTAATAAAATTTGATTTTTTATATAAAGGAACACATATTTTAAAATTCTTTATTTTTTAATTCTAATTGTAAATTACATAGATTATTATTTATAAAATTTTTAATAAAGAAAAAATGATAAAAAATTATTTTAGTTCAACGAATTTAACTTTTGGTGCAGTAAATAAATTAGAGCTATATAAATTTTTTTTTAAAAAAGTTAAAAAAAACTTTTTTTTTTGTTTTTGGAAAGTCAATTTTTCAAAAGATTATTTTGTTCTTTTGAAAATATTTACTATAATAATTTGAAGAGGAAATACATTTTCTTTTAAAAAGAATTATTTTAAATTTTGAAAAATTAATTAAAAAAGATTTTTTTAAAAGTCTTGTGGTGAAATATTATTTTTATGCTACAAACTAGTAGATAATCCTAATGCTAACATCGTTTTATACTTTTGTTTTTCATTTTAATAGAAAATCTTTCCTATACTCATGTCATTTATAATAATAGCAATGACAAAGGTAAAATATTAACTTTTATTTTTAGGATTAAATTAAATAAGAATAATAATAAAATTTTATTAAAAATATTTATTAAGCTTTTATAATTTTAATATAAAATAAATATATTTTTAATAAAAAATATTTTATATGTTTAAATTCGGTCTTAAAATATATATAAACTACCAAAATCCGTAATAAAAATAGTTTGACCAGTAATAACCAGGAAAAACACATGTTTATTTAAAATAATGACCTTGCATTGCTGTTACTGGGCTATATGTACGATAATAGATGAAATACTTTTGTTCTAGTTTAGTGGAAGCCATGGAATAGTTCAAAAATCTGTCTCATATACGACGGTGTTTGTTCCTATCATAAGATTATTTCAGTGGAACGCACTGAACATATTTTTTTTGGTAACACTGTAGATTATGCATACTTACATGGAGATTATTGCCAGAAATTAATGTGCAGTATTAGCTAGAAATTACTATAAACTCAATCATGGGTGCATGAATGTTAATAATCGAAACAAAAGCATTTTCTATGATTCCAAATAAAGTGTGTAAAAAATTTGGTGAAAAGCAACAGGAATGGTAATATATGAAATGGTGAATTGAAGTAACAATATGAGCTGTAAAGAGCAACTACTATCTTTTACAAAACATAATTCTGCAGAAGAAACAGGTGAACTACCATCTCTTTACCCACGAAGTTCTAATTTGATCTTTAATAAAGGTTTGCTTCAACTAACTTTTCAGGCTATTGAATTATGAAATCTTTAGCCCTAAATTGAATTGAATTGAAGTCTCTGATATAGTGAGTTTCTCGAAGCTAGCTAGCAATCTAACTATCCTCCTTAATGTGCTTCTCATCACTATGGTAAGAAACTCCATAGTTGGTAGTTAGTAATTCACACGGCAACTGAATGCTCGCTGTATGAAAGACTTTGGAATGATTATTAGTACACTTTACATACTTCATCTTGTTCCCCCACCAAAATCCACTTTGCTCGTAAAGCACTAAACCAAATATAAGATATGATATGATAAATATTTGATTAACTCTTATCTTATCTTAGTAATAAGACAACAGAACAAATAACTTTATGTTATTTTGTTTAATGTTTGAGATAAATAAAAAATAATTAAATAAGATATAAATTGTATTTAAATGATAAAATTACTCTTATTAAAATTAATATATTTTTTAAATTCAATTTTTGAAAAATATGTGTACAAATAATATTAAAATTTTGATATTAAATTAAAATTTTGATATTAAATTAAAATTTTATTTTATTATCTTTGTCTTTCTTGGAGAGATAAATCAATTGATGTGACAGTTTGGACGAGGAGTCATGCATTGGTCCCACTTATTCAATGAAGGCTAAGCGTTGGGTAGCCACCACCTAATCATCGTACACTCTTAAATGTGTGAATTGTAAGCCATGATGCAATTTAAGGAAAACGTTTTTTTATTTCTGCCAATAAAGCAATAGCAATTTAGGGGACAAGGCAGCATATTTCCAACCACATAGGCAGAACATAGCTATGAAATCAAAGGCTACATGCATCAATTAAACCATGGAATCAAGGGCCATGATGGTGCTAAGATTCATGGGGTGCATGTACTGGGTGGAGCCAGTTAGGATCTGGTTCACTATGATTCGGTTAGCTTTCTCCGATGGGTGAAATGGATCCCAAAACGCATATAGGTCTCGATTTGGACACAAGTTCGAAAGGGCTGTGCATAGTCCAATCCCATTGAACGGGCCTTGCCCACAGCAAGCTATTTTTGATGTCACAAATCCTGTGGTCCCCAAGTCCATAGTTAAACTTCAATAACCTAAATAGGCCTTTTTATCATGGCCCAAGAAACAGGACAACTGGGCCTGCAGCTATATTTAAATTTAAAAAATGGCAATAGTGGACGTACCAAAAGCTTGAGGGTTGGTAACGAAATCCATGTGCATTTGATATGCATTTGCAGCAATGAAGACGTCAGCGCCAATTTCTTGGTTGAGTCCTTTGATCATTTCAGCAAGTTGTGGATTGTATAAGGACGCAGCTCTCTGGAGTTCCGTGTCACATTCACCATTTCTGCTTCTCATTGCTAACTCTGCAGGTACACACCCTATTGGTCCCGTACCCGTTACAAGAACTCTACGTCCTCCCAAATCATAAAGCCTCTGCATCCATTAAGTATATACAATATGAGCCACCACAAATTCTAATAACTCAAGACCCCAATAATTTAATTTATTTCAATTTTGACTTTTATATACTTAGATAATATCTCTGCTTCTCTTTCATCATATTATATCACTTATTACATTCCTTCACTTCTCTCTTCTCTCTTTATATCATTCACTAGGCACGTATCTAGCAGGGTGTACATTAATAATTTATGATAACTTTAAATACAAAATATTTTATTGCCGTAAAATTCTAATTATAATTAAAAAAAAATAACACTCAAAATATTTAAAATATATATTTAAATTTTGTCTTTTATACAGTAGCTAAGCTAAGCGTGTAGTTAATGAACTTGTCATTGAATAAGATGTCAAAGGAAATAAAAACAATTTTAGTATGATTCACCAACCAAGTTTTTTATGTCTCCTGCATGGACACACTCGTTCGCTAACTAGAGGCATGCAGATAGGTATAGCCCTTCTGACATTTCCATGTCCATTAATTTGATAGGGCCGCTACCCTTTGAACTAGAGATTTCTATGTAATTTAATTCCGTTAACGAACTGCAATAATCTCAAATCCTTGGCAATTTGAAGTAAAAGCATGAATCATGATACATTATATTAAGAAAGGTAAACTTCAAAGATAGTATTTATTGGAAAATTAATACCCTCAGGACTTGGCGGTACTCGGATATGAGATATTTCACGTAGTCTGGGAGAGAAAACTGGCGAGATCTTGCTGAATAGGGGACCAAGTAATAATTGTTCACAAAATCGTTGCCTCCAAGAGTGATGAGAATTAGTGCTTTGTTTACTAGTATCCGAGCCCCCTCCTCACCAATATGTGCACTCAACCTTTGTTGGTAATGTGCGAATAGCTTCATCTGCTTGTAGATGTGAATGATGTGCAACTGCCAAAACAATTACATAATTGAGTTACTACTAGCTTTGGAGTGCATGTCACTATTTGATTTTATATATTTCCATCGTGAATGAAGAAACCAATTAATCAGCAACGTAACGTATATAAAACTCCATAAATATGAAGAGGGTTTGTCTAACGTACCTCATGCGGAAAATAATTTCATTTTACGTAAACTCATAAGTTTTTGTTTATAAATTAAAAAATAAATAAATAAAATCTCAATACAATTTTTAATATAATGTCTTGACTTCATTAGTGTAAGATGAAGTTATTTATTTCATGGGAAAGAAAATTAATTTTGACTATCTAATTGAACTTACAAACTGAAATCCTGTATCATTAAGAATCCCTATCCCCGCAGATGCAAAATTGGCACCAACTAGGAGCTTCTCTCCGATTAGTAAAGGGCTCAAATACGGCATAGTAGGCTCTAAGCCAAGCTGCTCGCCTACAATTATCAATTCCCAACATCATTCACATAAAAGAAGCACAACTATACCTCATGCATGCAAATGGCAATACATAGGAGACTAGAAAAAAAAAAAAGCATTATTAATTAAACATGTGTTGTATAGTTAGCAAATATGCCACAAATTTATACTGATTAAATCAGGGATGTTTAGGCCATTAGAGAAGCGTCCAGTGGGTTTGTGTGTTGGGAAGTCAATGCCATAAGGAGGAGCATCTGCGCGTGCAGTGGTAGCCAAGAAATCATTGTTGCCACTGTCTACAAGTGAATCGCCAAAAACAAAGAAAGCCCTCGTCGATTGAGCAGAAGAAAAGTTTAGGGACATAAACAAGCTTGTTACTACTATACAACAATCGAACACTAAAGAACTAGCCATGGCAATGTAAGAAACTATGAATACTATGTTGCGAAACTTTAGTGTTGTTTAGTGCTTTATATGAATATCAGTGTGACACAAGTGGTTTTGGGAGGAGGGGCTATATATAAGGTCTGAAAAGTGGATCTAGTGGTCTCTGAAGACCACATCCATAAATGTCTTTCTCTACCACCTCTTCAAAGTTTAAAGCAACAGCCAAATCAAGAAGAGCAAGTACCGCTAATAATTTCTCGGATTGTTTGCTTAAGCAAATATGTGACTTTTTTCTCAGATTCCGAAACATATCATTGTTCTTATCAATTGAACAGAACGTTGTGGTCCGCCAACCCCCACTACTAGTTATTACACTAGCCGCCTACATGGCATGGTAAGAAATGAGTGAGTAATGCGTCATTAAAACCACAAGCAACTAGTTGAAGTTAAATATTTTTACCTCCCACATTTTGGTACACTACTAGACTTGCCGATGCCATATGTGTTACATGAGTGCTTAGGTGATGCTGTAGATGTTGCAATAGCAAGCTTTTTTCATAGTTAGTAGAGTTGAAAAATTATTAATCATCATTGAATGACTATTAATATGAGGATATATCAGAGATAGAGACATGATTAAATTATATATGACAAAACCAGTAATTTAAGGAATCGATAATTAACAAATAAAAAATTAGAAAAAATTATAATAAAGTCAGTCAGTATCTATGAATAAAGTTCATTTATTATTTTCTTAAATATTATACTAAGGATAATGGATTTCAAAGTCGAGGAAAAAGAATAAGCTAATCAAAATTTGACATACTCAGTTATGAATTATGACTAACGAATAGTCATTAAATTTTTTTATTAAACTTTGTTGTCACTCGCACATTATAGTTCATATAAAATGGTAAAATGCCCTCTTTTGAACTAACAGTATATAAAGAAATGTGTAACGTAGGTGCTTTTCTAATGTATAATAAGGATTTATAGTCAAGGGCGGGGACCAAAGGACATAGATGTACATGTGATCAACATAATCAGGGTGGGGTTAGGTCACTGCAACCTCCTCCGCACTTGTGATTTTCTTTTCGTTAAAACATAACATCACAAAGCAGAAGCTTTGCAAAAATGGCATGCAAAACCGCCCTCAACCAAAAAAGGCTGATCGAATCTTAGCAAAACCAAAGAGGGTAGTGATAAGCTTGTTACACCCTGATATATAAGTTTGAGGTTGAAGATAAGAGGATAGTGTAACTTAAAAACACTCAAATCAGTGATTGCACTAGCATAATAATAATGTTAGATTCATCCTCTACTTAGTGCAGTAGCGTTAACCAGTTATACGAGGCTCACATATATAGGTTGTATATGCAATCAATATATTACAGCAGTTTCATAAGAAATAGTCTAGGGAAGCTTAATCATAGAAAGATCTAGATTCCTGGAATATGAGATGCCATGATTTATTGGCTATAATCTCATGTAGTGTGTATGTAGCGTTAAGTTTACAAGTATCAAAGAAGGTCATTCAAACACTTTCTAACATATTTTTTTTAAAATATATTTTAATTATAAAAATTACGTAAAATTTACTCTCTTAATTTATTTAACTTTTTTTTCCTATTTTTATGATTTTTAGGTCTTGGTCCGACATTTGACCCAGATATGAGTTGAATTGTTGGTAGTTGGAGATTGTCTTTGGAAGAATTTACATAGAAAAAAATGATAAAAAAAAATGAATAAGCTTCTAAGTTAATTGATATAAAATAAATATATAATATAAAAATGAGAAGTGGGTAGCTCTCAAATTAAAATATCTGTATCACTCAGTCTCGGCCCCCTAGATTGGGTCACACCTTGCCAGGCCCGGCAAAGATTAAAGGAGGGAGTTATAACAGTCTCACTACAGTACACCATTTTGTGCCAATACTGATTAAAGGAGATTTTTTAACGATGCATATTTTTTTGGGTAACCGTACTTTAATGAAAATTGATAATTTGTTACAGTTCTCCATAAAATTTTATATGTTTGAATTTACTTTCTTAGCCACCCTCTTGGTGCTCAGAAGAAACCATACAGAAGAAGTTTCGTCGCTTTTTATTTCTTGGCTTCTCTACTTTCATCCTTTTACCTTAGTAGAGAAAGGATAAATTCTATTATCTTTTATAAAATTTTATCTAATACTTTTCATTCTTTATTGTATTTAAATTTGATATCTTAATTTATATAACAATCTAACTGTTAGTAATTTGTGTCAGTTTTAGTTTTTATTTTTTAAAAACATAACGTGATCTATTTATTTTTATTATACATATTTTATTTTGTACTCGTTTTGTTATTTTTTGAAATATTATTAGTGACTTTATGTTTTGGGCTCTAACATAGATAGAATAGAGTTCTATAAATATTTCATATTTTTGTTTATTTTAGTTAACTAAATTAACTCTTTTTTTCAAAAACTAACACACAGTTGTGCTTTGTTTTCTATTTTAAGACTAACTCATATAATGTATGATTGAAGAGTTTTATATTTGTGATTAAAGTTATGGACTCTATTTTTAAGTTATTAAAAGTTATATTTTGACATCTCTCCTGCAATATTTATGGCTAATAATAATAAGAGTGAAAGTTAAAGTAAATACGTTGACATTGGATATTTAGTCATAAAAAAAACGTCTTAAGAAATAAAAAGTGGTCATTGAACACATTAGTACTAAATTAATGATTGTCAATCCTTTGAGTAAAGGCATGCTACCATAAAATTTTAAAGATCATATATGAATGGAACTTGGTTTTACATATGATATAGTTTTATTATTTTCTCATTTTTTATGTGTATATATTTGTTTATTTATCTGAGAGTATCATTTAGTTTTGACTTTGAATAAACATGTGGCTTATTCAGTAAATTGAGAGCTAATATTCAGAGATTTGATATATTGTAATACATGGGAGATAATACTCATTATTAGAAGAATTGTCATCATGATTTATATATTTAATTTCTTATTATAGTTGATAATAGGATAAATATATCAATTAAGAGAATATTAACAATTTGTGTTAATTTTATTTTTTATTTTTTAGAAACATAATGTGATCTATCTATCTCTGTTATCCAAATTCTATTTTGTACATAGATATTTCATTTTGCTGATATTTTGAAATGTTGATAATAGCTCCACTTTTTAGGTTCTACAATCAATAGAACTCTATAAATATTTTGCTTTTTCATTTGTTTTGCCTCTATGATTGAATAGTTAAACTTGCTCATTTTTTGTGTAATGATAAGGAAAAGTTCTAACAGGAGAAACTTTAGGAATTGAGATGAAACTCACGTAAAAGAATAACTAACTCTAATCAAAAGAATTTAATTTAAAACAAAGAAGAATATAATATTAACATGAAGAATGAAAGTGTGTTATTTTAGTTGTAGGAACTCTTCTTTTCTCTCTTTAATCTCTTCTTTCCTCTTTATATTTAATTCTTATGTACATTCTATACTTAGCTACTAGATTTTCATAATATCCGTATTAATAATACAAGTGTTAAAAATATTAATTTCAGTTTGCTCATTATAAATTTAAAATTTAGGTTCCTTACTCTTTGTCAACTGGGTGCCATGTGTATAGATCTTTTTTTGCTCATAGATGATCTTGTCAGTTTGCTTTTCCTTTTTTTTCAAAGTATTTTGATTTAGTTTTTGAGGTAGTAACTAAAAAATAAAATTGGAAAAACAATTTTCTAGTTAACTTGTCTGTGTGATTTTCACCGTTAAAATTATTTTGTGATGGGTAAAGTGGGGTATGCAAAAAAGTGAAAATGTTTAACTTTGTTATTAGATGAAATAGATTTTAAATATAAAATCCACGTACTATGAAAGATAAATAAATAAATAACTTTATAATATTTAGGGAGGTTAAATAAAAAAATAATAAAAATATATTTAATGAAATAATTGTATTATGAAAGATTTGTTTAAAAATTTGAAATAAAATATTAAAGTAAAAAATTACAATTTTCTGAGAGACAAAAAATTTAATTAAATCCAGTTTTTATGAACTTTTTCAACTCATTTATAAAATATCATATTTAAAGACAATTTGTTTTTTTTTTAATGAAATCTATGAAAATTAATATTTTTTCTATCTAGAAGGGTGGGTGAATAGAAGTAACACCCAGCAAATGGTTAATTAGTATATACATGGAATGGTGGATTTTCGTGAACCGACGATAACATGTGGCTTTCCAATGTTTAGGACAACCTCCGTCTTCTAGATGGCTGTGCGTGAGATTTCCAGGTAAGCATAATATTGAAAAAATAGATATTTTACAAGGTTATACAGTTTTTAGTTTACAACCATGAAAAAATGAAGAAAGAAAAAAATTATATATTACGAGCAATAAGAAAAACTGTAAACAATTAAAATTAATCCAATAAAATATATTATGAGCAAAATTTCAACAAAATTGTATTTTAGAAGGATGTGTTTTTCTTAAAGAGTTAAAATACTCCTTTATATTCCGTTGAATAAAAGTTATTTATATATGCAAATGTGTTGCCTAACTAAAATACATGTTCATATTACATTACTCAAGAAAAAGAAAATTACAGGAAAAGGAAAGGGAAATTGGAGACAGGGCGAAATGGATCAAATTTGTAGTAACGGATCCCAATCTTGAAGCCCTTGATCGATGGTATCATTGAGTTCCAGAATATTCTCCCAGAACAACCCCTTATTGGTCATGTCCTCAAGCACTGCTTTAACACCAGTGGGAGTCTCATCGATTTTAGAGACAAAGCTGATGCACCATGGAGCCTTGTTGCAGCATCGTCGTAGGCAATTGCAGCTTCAAGGGAGGTATTGAAAGTGCCAAGTTTTCCCCAAGTCCTTTGCCTCACTCCTCTGTAAGTGCACGTGCCATTCTCTGGTCCCCCCCTTTCCCTTCATGCGTGCCCTCTTCGTTCCTCCTTTTCCATGCTTCTTTTTTGTTAGTAATCATAGTATTGCTGCTTCGT